AGTTATAGTTTCCATTGATATATAGTAATATTAACCAAATATTTGCTTGAGATGTTTTTATTTCAGTTACCCAATTTTCGTACTATACACAATTTTAAGTTGATAAAAAAAGAACTGTAAAAATCCCATTTTTAAGAAGCAATAATAAATTCAGTTCTGAATGGAGAATTTTCAAATAGTGGCATTACCACTGTTATGGAAAAGATGATAAATAAAATTAACCTTTAAGAAAATCTTCTATAGGTTTAAAATAAATCACATGGGAAGTGATTTATCCTGGCTGAAGTTTCTACCAAATAATTTGAAGCTAAAATTATTAATGACATGCAGGTTGTATCTCAAAATATATTTTTCTGGAAGGACTGGAGAAAAACTCAAGTTTGATGAATATTGCGGATATATATCTCGCAACTGACGTCGGCTAAGTTTGACATATTTTAGCTTATGGGAATTAAAATAGAAGCATAGAGTATGTGAAATGTTTAAGCTTTTTCCAACGGATTTTAATAAGAGAAGATGACTTTGAGTCCCTAATGTCAATCTATAGCCTAATTCTTATTAGGGGGGACTACTGTGCCAGGAAAAATGCTTTTGCCTGTAAATATCTATAGTTTCCTGAAACAAAGCAGTCACAAGCACCACTATCCGCCAAACAGTGACAGATTCTATGAACAGATTATTATTTCTTAACGTAAAGTATTTTTCACCTGACATTAGACTAAGGGGCATCAGACTTTATTTCCTAAGAACTTCTAATTAAAACGAAACAACAAAAAATTCTGTGACACCAAAGACAGGTCTCCAATAATTTATCTACTTTGTGATCTAAGTATTCCCACAAATTTTATTATTTGGAAGGAACAGAAAAAAAGGTACAACTTTTATTTTTGATAATTATTTTTATTACAATATTGCTATTGTTATTATTATTATACAACAGCACTAATTATTATCACTATAGAAAACACAAAGGACCCAGCATTACCTGCAAACTTCAGCTATACCTCTGGTCTTAGGGCAGAATATAATTTAGGATGGGAGCAGAAGTAGAGAAAAGCAAAATATATAATTTTGCCTTCTTGGGTCATTTCTACTTAAAAACATTACTTGAATGAAATTTTCATCGGAGGGGAAAAAGGGTCTTTTGGAAATCTGTAACTGTCTCACTAGGACACAAACTATCAGTTTACCATCCTTAACAGAGTTACCTGTGCTTTGGACAAAGTATCCGAGGGTGTATGTTTTCATCAGCGATTCACATTCGAAATAAAACAGATTAGATGTTTGTTGGAAGCAATACTTTCTACAATTGAGCAACCTATTTATACTAAATCTTTACAAACAGAACACACATTATTTAAACCCCAAGACCCTTCAAGACCCAGAGTCACCTACCTGCAGACCCAATTTTTGTGACCAGCCAATTTATAGGCAAAGTGAAAGAAACATGCGAACTGGATAAAATAACCATATGTCCCCACTGGAAGCCCCATTACTTGAATCATTTAAACCTTGCTGGACAAAGCACCAGGAGAATTTGCTGTAGGAAACAAACCTACGCCAATGGGGCAGGGAGGAAATGACCTAATGGTGAGTCTCCCTTCTGCTCTAATTTCTGTGGTTCTGTGTTAAGAAAAGCTGTCCTACCACTCTGTTGTGAAACCTTATGCCCCAACAAAACAGCATTTCTTATTAAAAAAAAAAAAAAAAAGCCAGTTCAGAATTTAACATTTAAGTTGCCATCATCAAAAGGCAAGGAAGGACACTTTGGGACAATTTTGTTCGGGAACACTTTTAAGATACAATGGAAAAGTATTTTTTCCTTCGTTCGAGAACTGAAAATGCCAGCAAAAGAGTGTGTTTCTAGTTTGAATTTTGTTTGTTGGCGACCCGAGATTTAGGGTAACCTCTTCCATACTCCTGGCTGCTTACGATGCTAAGTGGCATCCTTTGATGTTATTCAATGTGAAACCCAGTGTAGGCGGTTAATGGAGGCAGTGTTGGCCCAGCCTGGAACTCTGCTTGGTCTGCCATTTTGATGGCCCATATTCTGCCTCAGTTTATTCTTTCAGTAGGAAGTATTTATCAGCGGACATAAGGTACACGCAAAGAGGTAGAGAACATTCAGTGTGTGCGGAAGTACAGGTATGACAGGGGGCGTGGATGGAGGTCTTTGCATGTATGAATGAAAAAGTACATGGCGGGCGCCTGGGTGGCTCAGTCGTTGAGCGTCTGCCTTCGGCTCAGGTCATGGTCCCAGGGTCCTGGGTTCGAGTCCCACATCGGGCTCCCTCCTTGGGGGGAAGCCTGCTTCTCTCTGTCCCACTCCCGCTGCTTGTGTTCCTGCTCTTGCTATCTCTGTCTCTGTCAAATAAATAAATAAAATCTTTAAAAAAAAAAGAAAAAGTACATGGCCCTTCTGTCGCCGTAAATATTTATGTGCATTCATGGAGGCACTGGGTTTTGGAGTCAAGATATAGAAATGGACATTAAAACAACGTAATTTCCAAAACATATTTCTATAAACTGCAGTGTTTTTCTGATAGCCACTCCTGACTTGAAATGAAAGAATGCTATTTATCCTGAAATTGGTGTAAGTCCAAATGGGAGGTTTCCAATGTCACATATTTTGCCTTTTGATTTTAAGTGCCAGTTTGTGTAAAGACGAGCCTGTGAGTGTGTGAGGGTGAGCAAGAATACAAGGTCGGAGCTGAAGGCAGGTGTCCGTAATGACAGGGAGGGAGTGACCCACTTAATACTGCTACCCACGTTCCCAAGTCCTGGGATTTTCAGGTGTTTTTACTGCCGGTGAAAAGTGCAAGTGATACCTCTCACATTGAGGTATTCGGTTCATCACTGAAGCCGGTTTTGTCTCTCCCCCCCCCCCCCCCCCCGTAAGGGGCTGTTTAACGTTTAGAACCTTGGTAATGTTTCAGCATTCTTTCTTCCCAAGTACTTTTGCATCGCAGGTATTAAAACTTCACTCCTTATGTAGGTAACAAGGCTGAGTTTAGAGAGTACCTCTAGGATGGATTTATAAATGCAACTTTCCCCCCATTCTCTTACAAAGAGGCAAACGGTATTACTGCAAATAACCTTTAAGATAATTAACTGACAATGCTGCAACTAGCATAAAATCTTCCTTCAGGCGACACCTAATTTAAGTGTTACTGGCACAAAGTGGAGACAGATTGCGCATCACCACTGCAATATTTACATAGCAGAAACCCACAGAGCAGGAAACGCGAGGCTCAATGATGCACTAAATTAGGAACAACCGTACTCCAGTGTTAATTTGCTCTCCGTTCTATCCAGATCTCAGGTCCAGAAATTGGTACAAACACATACACAACCTCCCACTCTTAAATGACTAAACCGGAGGAGCTTTTTGTACATTTTTGCCCCCAAATTAAAATAACTTGAAAATTTATTTCCTCTCTCCACAAGAACCATTTGATCAAACTGTGTTTATTTCATTACAACTTGCTCTCACTTTGATCTAAAATTATTTTCATATGAATGCTGCATTGGAGTCTATAGAGAAAAACTAAACAGACTTCTATTTTCTCAAAGGCTTGCCAATATAGTTTATGAAAAGAATAACCTCTAGAGAGACTTGAGGGCCAGCTAGTGAAATATTCAGAAACTTGGAAAGGCAAATTTACCTTAAGCGAATTTCTCCCTGATGAATGCTGTCCCCTCCCCCCTCCCCCCTTACTACGCAATGAGTTTTTGAAACGATTCAAATGATATCTAGTTTATGTTTTTCCCCCACAGTATTTTAAACACCGGTTTCACCCAAGGCATTAACAAAACATTTACCTTTCCTAACTGTTGATGTTCTTTAAAGGCAGCGATCAGTTCTTCAGCCCACTTAATTTTTCCAGGGGAAGGAGAAAACTCTTCCTGCACCACGGCAATTTGGTTAGGGTGTATCACCTGCTTACCTACAAGAAGATTAATAACACCGGAAACACGAAACAACAAACAGATGTTCAAACAAAATGTCTCAACCACGAAAGGCTCCTAATGCTTCACAGTCTGTATGTAAAATAACTAATTATTTTAGAACTTTTTAAAAAGAAAGTAACTGCAATCTGGCAGGCTTTTCCAGAATACCACATAAGAAACACAGAAGAATGGGAGTAATTGTGTTTCTGATCCTATAGAAATGCCACCTTAGTGCAGATAATCTCTCATTTTTAGTTACAGGTGGGTTGACTAGGCAGCTTGTTGACTAATCCTTTGGCTGGAACTTTAAAGGATAATATCTGCAAATTAGAGTGATTATTTTGAGTTAAAGTACAAAAAAATTATATGTTAACTCTTTTAAATTTTACAAGTTGTCTTTTGCTTATTTTGTACCATTATCCCACCTGCCATGATTTCTTTTAGAAGTGGTCTGTTGTTTTTCATAAAGCTTACAGAAGCAGATGTTCCAACCATATTAATATCAAATAGTGGCTTACAATAATATATTTAATTTTCTTTCTTTTAGACAAATAATAGCGTGTCATTTCTAACCACTAACCCGAAACTGGATTTCAATGAAAAAATTTTATTCAGTACAGTGGAATAGAAGGCAGATTTGAACACAGTGGTCTCTAGGTTACTCCATTTCAAAATGTTTAAATAAAAAAGTTACTGAAAGTTTCTGTATCCATAAACATAACCAGGCTTTCCCTTTTTTCTTGTAGAATGAAGACTGAATATTTCCCTCTAATATAGATATTTAGATACCCCTGAAGAAAGCTGATCTCTGTAGTAATAGCTTTAAAAAAGCCTTCGTTTCAGAGTTTAAGGATCCTAAGGAAAAACATTACACAAACATAACACTCACAGGCTTCTACGAAATCATGCAGTCATTAAAAGGAACAATTTAACAATCGGGGAAGTGTAAAATTTAATCAGGTCATTAATAAAATACAACATAATTTAATGTTATAATAATGATGAGATTGTATTTTATTACATGATAAAATTATGGACATATTTGGTTCTTAAAAATGAATGTGCACTTAATGATAATTTGCTCTCCTAAATATATTCGTCCATATATCAATTTGCTTTGCTTTTGAAATAGTTGTTTTAACATTTAGCCAGTACAATTTATACCCTCGATGTTTTAAAAAAGATAATTCCTGTTACTGTCATTATTGAATAGAAAAAAAACCCCAATATTTGTAAAAAAATTTTTTTAGTATTTCATGGAAAAGAGTTCAAGTGAATAAATATAGCAGTACCTTTTCTTCTAGTAGCATAATTAGAACACCTTCACCTTGCTATTATTTCATTCTAATCTGTCAGCATACTAATAAAACATTAAAACCCTGTACAACTAAAGATGCTTTAAATTATTTGAGGAATCGTGCTCACTTCGGCAGCACATATACTAAAATTGAGGAATAATTTCAGGGAACAAATAATACTAGTGATGACAAATGAGAGCTTTTTTCAATAGTAGGTATTGCAATTATATTTAAGTCATCTAATAGTTGTTACAATATTATTAATAAAGGATGTCAGTTCTGGTAGTCATTTTGTACTAATTGTTAGACCTGAATTTTGTAATTTATGTACATAATTTACACAGATGTGTAAAAAGCCAGATTTCACGGGAACTTCTTGGTACAGACACTATGACTTGAGCAAAACATAAACTATCTAGAAATACTGGGAAACCACTGATGGCCTGCGAGTACCAGTATTTTGGTAGTGAGGCTAATTTTAGGATACGTGTTAAGTTTTAGAAATTTGTGAACATCCACGCATGAAGTAATCTGTGGCTGATTCTTGTATACCCCAACAACGGAACATCAGACTTTAATGCCACGTGGGAGTGAAGGAAATATTTTATACAGAAGAGCTGTTATTGGCAAGTTACTGAGGGTGCAAAATTGGAAGACGTTAAAATTTATGACCATGAAATCCTTTTTACAGTACCACTTGATATATCGTGCTTTAAATCAATACCTGTCAAGTCTTTTAGGTGACTGTATGATGGTGTCATTTTTGTCTTCTACAAAAGACTGCAAAAAAGAAGAAAACCTACAGTGCTTCATATTTATCATCTTTCTTCTCAGCATGCAGGACTGCAGTAACTGTGATGACCAAGTCAGCTGTTGAAGCTTTATTCCAAGATTTAGTTTTGGTTTCTTTTTATAAAAATAATTCCTAATGTTAATAGCCACTTATATGGCCAATGCATTGATTTAAAATCAATCCGCATGGGCTGTGGCCCCATGAAATAATGACTGCAGAAGAGATGCACGGCTAACTTATAAAAAAATACAACTCATTAAAAAAAATGTATAATTTTTAAAAGTAGAGAAAATCCTTATAGCATAGACTGAGTGTTGCTCCTCAGTGTTAGGGGTAACATGATACCTTCATTAGATTTTAAAACTTTTCAACCACCTGCTTCAGAGAGGGTGTGTATTTCTCCTTCCTTCCTCGCTTTCCTCCCTGCTTGTGCAAAGCCCAAGTTATGGGGCAATTAAATGACAAATAATTAGGACAAACAGATGACAACTGGGTCTAAAATAATCAAAGCCCTTATTGTTTCAAAATACTACAAATAATCTCGTATCTTATTATCAGACTAATTACCTTTTACTGGTATGTAGCAATATAATTGGGACTACAAAGACCTTCTTTCTAAAAATTGGAAAATGGTTATGAAGTGTAGCTCCCTACTTTACTGACTTGTTCACTTGAATACATAATGGGCACTGTACCCACTCTGCCTCCCCATTCTCCCCCTGCTTCCATTTTTGTGTGTGTGTGATTTAATACTCCCTGATGTTGAGAAACAATACTGCCAAGCCCGTAAGCTCCTCTTGCTGAGTTGGGCACAGTTCTAGGAAAATTTAAATCTGATTTGAAGTAGCTTGTCTTCTGCGATTGAATTAGCAACCAATTTAATTCAGCCCTGTTTCTTGGAGAAATTCTCAAACTCCTTTATAAGTTCTGGAACAAACATTTACCCCAGAGGTAGCTGAGGACACCCAGGTTATACTGAGTGAGGGTGATACAGGCCAGCACCAATTCAGTGTTTTCTTTTTTTTTTTTTTTTTAAGATTTTATTTATTTATTCATGAGAGACAGAGAGAGAGAGGCAGAGGAGAAGCAGGCTCCCAAGGAGCAGGGAGCCCGATGCGGGACTCGATCCCAGGACCCTGGGATCATGACCTGAGCCGAAGGCAGACGCTTAACCATCTGAGCCACCCAGGCGCCCATCAATTCAGTGTTTTCAATTTTTTTTTTTTTTTATTGAATTAGCGCCCATTTCACAGCAACATCTGGCTGCTTGGTAGCCAATGGCACACATTTTAGACCAACAACATCGAGGTCTATTAGGTAGATTTCATGGAGTGTCTCTCCAACTTTTCCATTTGGGCTATGTCCTAACTGGTCATTGGAAAGAGGCAGGTGTAACAGGCCACAGGAACAAGGACAACCTCAGGGCCAGGAGAGAGGGACTCTTTCGTTCTTAGTCACTATTAAATGTAGGGAGGGTTCATTTATTAATAATTCAGATGATTGGAAAATATTTCTCTATAAGAGATCACATTTATTTACTCATTTATTTATTAAACAAATTTGGGGAATCACATTTTGTTTTAACTCTTCATGTTAAAAACACAAAAACAAACGTCAGAACTTTATTTAAGTCTAATATAACACTAAAATTGTTTCTTAACTTGTTTAATTTTATTTGGGGTTAAACCATCGTCCATTAAGATATGTTTTACATTTAAGGTCACTTTATGAAATATTTCTTTCAGTAATCCCTAACTGGACAAACTTCAAAAATGTTTACAAAAGGGATAGAAAGGATGTTTGTCTCTTTTCCTTATTATTTGAGTTCATTTATGATCATGATCTTCTTAGAACTTGCAGCAGAAGAATAAATAAGAATAAAAGAGCTTATGGTGTCTCTTATCCATGGTTGCGTGCATGAGTGTGTGAGTACACACAACTGTGGACGTGGGTTTGTGTGTAGAATCCTATTGTGGTTTTGAAAAAAATGGATTTCTGTTGCAAAAACACAATTTTCGGTTGCTACCCGGACTCCTGGGGATCTGAGTGATCAGACACACCAATCAACAGATATCTGCCTGCGCTCCAGAACCGGATTGCGGGGGGACTTGCAGATCTTAGTGCCAGCCAAAGCCCGTAGGTGTCGCCAGGTGCATAGACACTGGGAGGTGGGAGAGAAATAAGGGGCTTGAAGTGGTAGAAGAATAAAAAACTAGTTATGAGTTAAAAAAAAAAATCAAAGAAGATATCACTGAAGTTTTTTCAGAAATGAATGAATATTTTGAATATTTGAGGACATTTTTCTTCTCCTCATCAACCCAAATTCTTATGGCAATTCACTCAAAAACACTTCTATAATAGCCTCATCCCTCCTCTAGGGTCAGCAAAACCAAAATACTTAGGAGGACAGGAAAAAAAAATGGCAACTAATGTAAAGAGGAAATAAAATGAGGGCTTCATTGTTTGAGTTGCCCAGCCAAAAGAAAACACAACAGTTTGTTCCGTAGGCTCCTGCCCTCGATGGCTTTTTCACATTTCAAATAGTGGAATAAGTATACCAGATATGTGGCTACATTAGAAACACTAATTTCTGGTTATAGTTCTACTTTTCTGGAATGTTTGCTAATTTAGCTACTGCTTTCTAAGATACCATTAAGAATCATACCGGTAAATCCCATTGCAGCTCCTTCCCTTGACTGCCTGAGGAGCCCCTCTCCATCTCGAAAGTCGATGTACACCAGATCTATGGCCTGCAGACCAAAGGCCTTTGCTGTAACGATAATCTTCTGTCGGGCATACAGAATATCTTGGGTTTCTTTACTACTTGTTGCACCTGCAATGGGATGTGGACAGAAAAGGGAGACATGAACTCTGGAAACCAAACCCAGCCACCTATTGTAAAAACTGGGTTTGTAAAGACCTGGGAATTGCTCCCCAGCAAAATGATGATTCTAATATAAACAAGGAGAGGGATATGTGGAGGCAGAGTTAAATCTCACATGTGTCTATTTATCTTGGAAGGCATCTTGCAGTGTCATTGCTTGTGTGGGGGTTAAGAAAAGACCCCTCCTGCATCTCAGGAGATACAACCACAAACGATTTGCTAGGTCACAAATTAACTTCTGGTATATTTTTTCCTTCTTGCCATTGCTTGGAAAGTATCAGTTCAAAGACAGCACCACAAAAGGTGGCCGAGCAGCTGTGCAAGGAAATGGTTAACTTCTCTCACTGAGCACAGAAATTCGCGTGCTGTGGATGCAATGCCCTTCCATAACTAAGGTTCTGAGCCAAACAGTGCAGCTTCAGGGTTTGGATGAAGAACTTGGGGAAACGGAAGGGCACTCATTTTGAAAGAGGCAGAAAGTGTCCACTGAACTGTCAGAAACACAAAAGTCTCTTGGAAAGACTGGTATTAAAATAGGTTCCTTTTCTTTCCCCCTAGAGGCGGGTGTGTGGGGTGTCGCTGTTTGTATTTGGACCGTGACCCTGCTCAGGGAGAGCTCCATGCTTCAGGCCCCTGGGACTGTGGTTCTGCATGTGGCCTTGGCCTCTTTTCTAGGTGTGCCCTGAGTTACTAGTTAAGACCGGAGGCAGAGTGCCCAAGGGATGGGGAAAATCAGTGGAAACAAGCATACTATCTCAATAAATATTTAATAAGAAGAGTTCTAAAATGTATTTTAGGAGGACTTTAAGATCTGTTTAAAATAATATTTGGATACAACATTTAACGTAGAAAATGATTCATTAAAACAAATGTGAAATTGCCTTAAATTTGTGTTAGAAGCCTGGATAGCCCTCAGACTGATGTGAAAACAAAATAAGCAACGGAGAGGTTGTTCACATATTATACTCACTACGAACAAAGTAGATATCATATATTCCCAAACATATCTGAGGTTGCAACAGGCTTTTTATTATTTTATAAATGAAGAGAAGTAATAATATAGTGTTCTGGAAGCAGGACAGCTCTGAGGTGCCCTAAATTATCAGAAAGTATTGTCCATTCAGCTGAAAAACCATTGTCATGGTTGGCAAATATATATTGTCATGTAAATGTCCATTCATGAAGGGGCAAAGAAAAAATACACACACACACACACACACAGATACATGCACACATAGAGATTGAAAAAGAGAGAAATGTGTTTGATACCTATGCTGGCTCGAAAGTCTTCTCCTCCAAAAACGACTGCATCTAGAAAAAGACCCACTTGAGGTCCGGTGTTTAGTGCTTCTTCACACACGGCCTGTAAAAGAGCAGAACAGAACCAAATCTCATAGAAATGCGCAATTCAGAGAGGAGCAGCATGGTGGATTTCAGTAACAGAAAGATCCGACTCTTAACAGTTTGCTGAAAGCAAACTGGCAGTCCTAAAAATGCAGCCTAAATTTACCCCTTTTGAAAGGCTTTTAATATTGTCCAAGATAAGTATGTTGTATAGATTTGCTTTGCTTAATGGATTACATTAATATAGTTACAAATATATATTAATATAGTTATAATGTTCGAATCATTGTTCATCTAGTTTCTAGAGAAACTTTGAATTAACTCATTTTGATCGTACCGTAAATTACTTCTCTTTTTCCAAAACTTGTTTTTGTTTTAAGAGACGCTCAAACAATAAACATAAAACCACAGGAGAGAAGGAAAGAATTTTTAAATCAAATTAATTGGATTATTTGCATTAGGATCAGGATTTCTTAGTAAATGGTCTCAGGATTAAAGACATACAGTACAAAAATCTACAACTCCGGAGGGGCAAATAAAAATGCAACAAGTCATCCAAGATGTATTCATTAGCAACTTCCATATTTCTATGTGAAAATAAAGATTAATAACATTTGTCCTAGATGTAACTGAATCTACCAAGGTGGAAATTCAGCATGCTAATGTATGTGGGTGGGGAAGACCTGAAAATCGGGAGGACATTGATTAATTTCAGGGGTTGTAAGTGCTTCTACTTACAATATGGAATAAAATGGTGCAGTGGAGTTTAGAATTCAGTCATCGTATGAATCTAGTCGCATCTAGGGGATATGCTGTGATTGTATCTCAGAATTGTGGGGCAGGCTGGAAGAATTTGTGGTTAGTGGGGTAAATGCGCGGATCATGAGGCTTAAAGCAGCTCCCCAAACATATGCACTCTGCCCCTCCTGCATGGTCCAGTAGGTCTCAAAAGTTTCCTCTCGGAGCGCTTACTCACATACTATCTCTCTGGGCAGTTTCCAACTATCTCTTTTCTTTGTTTTTAGGGATTTCTTCCCTCCTGCCTTCTGAGACAGGGTGCTACAATGATGTTCATGAGTCAGGTGAAATGTGAGGCATATTTTGGAAAAGAGTTTAAATGATCAGTGATAAAGGGGAAAAAACAAGCTAGCCATGAAATCGTTAAGGCAAATTGTTGCATGTAACCATACAATGCTGGCAAACACTCGGTTCAGCTAATCTTCCTGAATGCATATCAGGAAGTACTTTATGTTCTAATGTGGCAAATTGAAATAATATACTACAAACTATTGATGTATCCTAACCTACAAATAGCAGTCTTACGTACTAGACATGATGGATAATGTTGCTACAACGAGGCCAGCAAATTTCCCAATAAAAGGCAATTGTTACAAAAGAATAATTGAAAGTTAATTCATAAGGGCAACAAAATCAATTTTCATGTAGATTTCATCTAAAATATAATTCAAAACATGTTTACATGTGATTATTTAATTGAAATAGGAACCTATAAATATTTCACTTAAATATTTAGGATTGGGAAGTTTCTCTTTGCTATTTAGCCAATCTTTTGTTTTCTAAGATGCTCACAGCCTGGTTTTGGATTATTATAGAGAACAAATGGTGCTCAAGGTTTACTTTGCCTATAAATCTTTCTAGAAAAATATTTTTAAGTAGATGTCAAAATTGAGAACAAAAGTTCCCTTGGGTAATAAATAAAATACTAACTTATTAGTCACATTATGTTCTCTTACCTTAAAATTGAGCAAACCCATTGCAGTTTCCACAAAAGGGATTAAATTCATAGGTTGTTCAAGTTTTCGGCCTTTTAAGTAGAAGGAAAATTTGTCTGAAAACTAAAATCAAAAGTGTCATAGGTGATTAGTAGGGGAAAAAAATGTACAATCACCGAAATGTAGACATAGAAGTAGTATTTAAGTCTTTGGCCTGAGGAAGTAATATCCCAGCCTATTTCATACACAAAAAAGAATGAAAACAAAACAAAAATAGGAGGAAAGACCAAAGAAAATAGGTAACAAAGTCCCCACCAAACTAAATAGTAAAACCCCAAGCATTATAATTTTTTTTTTTTCCCCTAAAGGAGCAATTTGAGGCCTAGGAGTTAGAAGTGGAAAGAGAGATTCTGAAGTTTAAATGCTTTCCTTGAAAACATATTTACGTAAGACCTCCAGCCTTCACTTCGTTAAATGCAAATGGTAGGCCCCCAAAACAGTGAAGTCTTGCTCTACCTGCCATTCTGTTTTTGTTTTGGACCAGGCACTGACATCAGTGGAACTGTTAGCAGCCTTCTACGTGGAACCCATATTATTCATTATAGCACCATTATCCTTTGTTCAGAAGGTTTTTCTTCATAATTTTTTAGCTTACCTAGGAAGACCTTAAAAAGGAAGTTTAATTCTTTGAAGACCAAAGCTCGCCAATTTTTTCCATGAGACCAGTTCACAGCTAGCTCTGCGCTGCCAGTGGGGTAGCCCAAATTCCAAAATCTATCATCTGGAAACATACAAAAGCTCTTGCACAGATCTCCACCACCCCCCCTTTCAAAAGGAAAAAAAAAAAAAAACCCACCACACTCTAAATTGTAAATCTATTATGTCTATCTAGATCTAATAAGATGTGGGGAGATAAAAAAAAAAAAACAACACAGGTATGATAAAGCAATTTTTGTAAATAAAGATGAAAACATATATATCCATTTTAAATTTAAGGAATATTCAGCCATTAATGGATATCAAAGGAAAAGGGAATTTTAATCATCTCTCCATTCAGTCTCAGTTGGGTAAATCATATCTAAGAGATTTGCATAAATATAAACCATCAAAGACTTTTCATCTTCAAAGGAGGTTTCAAGACCCTATAAGCTTTGTACTGTAATCATGGCAGGTCACCACCCTGCAGGAATAGGGCTGCTATGGCAACATAAAAAAACTAATGCTTAAGGCTTAGCATAATATTCCGACTAATAGAAAGGAAACTCATTTTAAAAGCTGGCAGCCTATTTACCAGAAGCAGGATTAGAGGTGTTATTTCCCCTTTTAGCTGCCCCCTCCTTGCTTGTGCAGCACCCCCCTAAAAAATCTAATCACTGGGATCTTTAAAAAGCTTTTGAGCAATTTGCAGTAACTTTACAATTAGGCTAAAATAAATCACAGCTTTCAGTAATGAAAAATTATTCCCAGTTGCTCCCATTGCCCCTCCCTTCCTCAGACACCATCATCATCACCTCCTTAGTAACTTTTCAAGGGAAGGAATAACTCAACCAAAATAGCAAGAAAGAAGAGAAGGCTACAATGTAAGGAGACAAAATGTATAATATTACGGGAAGGTGAAAATAAAACCTAATTTATGTCACATTTAAGCTAGAAAATGGGTAGTGAAAGATTAGCAGTTTTGGTGTTATATCTGCACTGGAAGAACTTTTTTTTTCTCACTAAAAAAAAAAACCACAAAACAAAAAACACCAAAAAAACGTGCAACATTACTTGCCCCATTCTTTGCGTAAGAGTTTTAACTACAAGAATCATAAAGTTTAAAACTAGTTAAGTACTTTACAATATATTTCCTGTTCTTAGAAAAATCTCTAATGCCTTCTGTTTTTAAGCCAACAGGGACATTTAAAAATTAAATATTCTGGCCCATTCTCCTTCTCCTCCTCCCCTTCTTTCTTAAAAAATTGCATTAAGTACTGCCACAAAAGGTAACTAGTGGAGAAGTTTCAATTAATTTTTTCAAAAGGAGACGATTAAATGTTTCCGGCCTGGTAAAGTGTTCATTTCAGTGAGGTGGAGGGGCTGGGGAAGGGGGTGGAGGAAAAGAAGGGGAAAAAATCACAAAGAGATTGGGGAGGAGATGAAGTAGCAGGGCTCAGCAATTCTTTCAATTCCAGTGCACACCCAATAGTGTGTTGGAAGAATGCACACTGTTCGGGATTTGTGGGAGAATTGTCCCACGACAAAGAAGGCAGAGTCGCGCTTGTTATAGTCCAATAAGCCGTGCCAGTCAAACAAGAACCCACACTAGCGACAAAAGGCCGGCAAGAGATTCTCACACAAAAGGAAACAAGGAAGCCCATCTTTCAGTTGTGCATCAGGCTCTGGGTTTTATGCTTCACATAAATACAAACGGAGAGGAAAAAATAAACAGCCCAAAAGACTTCTGTTAACTAGAAATCCTATTTCTATCCAAGGATTTAAAACAGCGAACAGAAGCTGTAGCTCAAGGCTGGGGTGGGTCCTCCCCTCTTAAATGAAGGGTAATAACGGTGATAAACAGGCATTAACATGAAACCAAAAGGGAACAGTGGCTTCAGATTCCATTTCAATCAATTTAAGACACATTCGAATGGGGTAGGAGGCCTCGGGGATTGTAGCCTACTGTAACCAGTATCTTCCAGCTTCTGAGGGGGTGACCTTGGAGAGAAGCGCTCCAGTTTAGAAAGTAAATATGGGTCCTTGAACATGGGGCCTTCAAGAAGACGCCAACACGGAGCTGTCCAGCAGAAAAAATAGTGGCAGCCACAGATGGAATTCTGAATTTTCTAGGAGCTACATTAAAAGAGGAAAATGAAATAGGTGCGTTTCGTTTGAATAATGTTTGTTCAACCCAGTAGACCTGAAGTATTAATCATCTCGACATGTGATCGATATAAAAACTACTGAGATAATTTACATTCTTTTGGGGGGAGGGGGCTGCTAAGTCTTCAAAACCCCATGTGTATTTTATACACTTACAGCACATCTCAATTTGGACTTGCCACATTTCAAGCGCTCAGGAGCCACATGGGGCGGGCGGCCAGAGCACTGGAAAGTACAGACTCGACGTATCTACATGCCTGAAAAAGGTGAGCAGGTTTCCTCTGGTAGGACAACTATTCGGTGTATTGCTGCATTTGCAGGCACAGCCTCAGAGATAATCCCAGATGAAGCATCAAGAGCCTGGGCCGACAGCCGTGTCCCAGGCCCGCTGCCCCCCAGCAGCCCACTGGGCAGGTATTTTATTCGGCAGAGATCTGCAAAATCATAGCAACCCCTAAAGAAAATCTAGCCTCCCCCTCCTTGAACAATGAAAACAATCATAGTATAATTAGGCCCATTTCAAAGTTTTCGTAAGTCATTTGACATGCCAGGTTTTTATTGGCTGAAAAGTCTGTCATGAAACACACACACACCTGTCAGCAATTTAAAAAGGACGGACTAGAGAGCTGTTCAGGAAATAATATCTGTGCTAATTAAAACCACTAGTTGAAAGCTTCCTGTTTCTTCCTCTAGTTGCCCTCAGGAGTGACCTTGCCCTCTCCTCCTCTAGGTTCGTTTTATCATTCGTGGCTAATGTGCCTTTGCTGTCTATGAAGACTGCAAATGAACCTGGGTGGGAGCCATTTACTTCACTGCTCTTCCGGTGGAGGTTAGGGCCTGGCGGGCCGTGAGGAGCGATCCAGTTCTGGGGCAAGCCAGTTTCCGAGGATTGCTCTGTGAGGCTTCCGAGGAGGCTGTTCTGGCCAAACCGCAAGTCTGAGTGGGGAGCGGACGCGTCATCCCGTGGGCAGAGTTGTTCCTCTGAACACTCTGGGTAAAGCCAGGCTCTCCTTGTGTGAAGGGAACAGTCTCTTGGGCTCCCTCCTTTCCTTTAGCTCCCTTTCTCTCTGCTCCATGCGTGTGTTTTCAAAATCTGCGGCACCCGAATCCTTCCCTTCTGCTACCCCTTCAGAGCTGCTCCTGAGCCTTTAATTAAAGCAAAGCATTAGCTTACTCACCCACTGGATTTCTTCAGGACTCTCCACCTTGGGCAGCATCAGGCTAGAGGGAAGGACCCGGGACTGCAGGAGGGTCTCCAGGTCCTCGTCGGCCAGACCGCTGGACACCGAGTTGACTCTCACACACTTTTCGGTTGGGCCCAGATCAAAGTCTTCAAGCGTTTTTACTATTCTCAGTCGAGCTTCATCCTATCAATGTCAATAAAATGTACCTCCTAAGTTTATTTATCATCGAGAGCAAACAATCCAACTGACCGTGGACCTGCTATGTGGATTCAGAATCTGAGCACCATGACTGTATCTACACATTTCCCCGTCCAGCAAATAAATGGTGTTTGAAATAAGTTGTGCAATCTGACAGACAAGGGATTGATTTCCAAACTTCACTCACGATGACTGTAACAGAGATGACAGCCACTGTCGTGCATACTGGTGCACTTCTTAAATAGGACTGTGCCCTCGCTCGTTAGCATTGCTTTTCGACTACGAGGGTAAAATAACCAATAGGTAACGTTTATTGAGCATTTACTAAGCTCTAGGCAAGGTTCTAAGTCTTCTCCTGCATTTTCTCATTTAATAAATATAGGGAGCTACATAACACATGGATAACGGGTAGTCTCGTCTGTCAGCATATTCACATTAGGGAAAAAATAAGGATTTGTTTTTCTCTTTCCACATGCGTCATGTTTTTTAGTCACTTAAAATTTTTTTTGCAAGTGAGTTGAATTTTGACATTCAATTAAGAAGGCGCTTACAGGAAAATGACACTCCACAGTACAAAAAAGCTCCAACTTATTCAGACGGAAGGCAATAATGCCACCAAGAAATCCCTTCATGAAGTGGAAAACAAATACTTTTTTTCCCCTTTGATTTGACAGTCTGTGCTCCATAGTTAAGAAAAGCTGAAAGGTTGAAAGCCTGCTTCAGTATGTGAATTGTCCCTAGAAAAACTGTATGAAACCAAACATGTTATTTGCTGGCTCTGAGTTGGGGTGTTGAAGGTGGGGAAGGGGGTGGGGAGAGAAAGGAGCGTATTGAGGGGCTGGGGGTTGGCGTCAAGAGAAAGAAAGCACTTGGGGTCATTACTTCCTGCCAATTTCAGTTTCAAAAACAAATTCCTTCAACTTGCCAACAGCCCTCAACAAATTCTCATTGTCAGAATGAACACTTATCAAAAGTAGTTTCATTTGGGAAGGGTTTTTATGATACTAATAAAACTTTAAAGCTTCTCACTGCTGACGAATGTGGTTTAAAAAAAAAAAAAAGTCTTAACAATATACAGCCATTTGAACAGCAATACTTACCTGGGAAAATAGCAAACCAAAGCGGAGACAAAAAGAGAATTATGAGAGCTGATATTGGGTCTAAGTCTAATCAACAAGACAAGCCAGGACAGTAGATTTAAAGCAGACGGATGTAGGTCTACGACCGAGTGGGAGCAGGGAAGGCTTCCAAATGTGGTCTGAGTTAAACAGTGTGAGGAAACAGTGGCTTAGAGTTGTCAGGTCAGATGGAAACAGAATACGTAGACCAGTTTAAGACAGTCCTGCGGAGCCCTGATTTACAGAGCTCTGACTGCAGATAATTAGGCCAAGCTTAGACAAAAGCAAGAGAGCGCGCACGCTAGCTAAGTGAAGGACAATGCGGCCAACAGTGGCTTGGTTCCACATCATGCCGTTGGCTATTCCACAGCTATAAAACTCATCCGCTTGCTCTGCCATGCCTTCTTTTTACATTCACTAACTAGGAAAATCCGAAGGTGAAGAGCGGAAGTGAGCTCAGTGTCATGGTTCCAAGAACATCTAGAGCTGTCGAGAGAAATGCCTTCAGCTCTTTGGCAGTGCGGGCATTTATATCCATGGCCCCCGAGAACCTAAAATGTGTTATGCTCCATGTAGCCCGCACAGCTACAGACTCAGGATTGCTCTCCAGCTTGTAAATATTTCAACTTCCAGGATTTCTTTCAGTAGCAGGTTGGGCTTGGCAAGGGTCTACTGGGACAGAGTGAATGGAAAATGGAAAGGAACGAACTAGATCATTTAGCCTGAAAGGCATTTTAAAACTTGGGTTACTTGAATCGTCATCTACACTCTGCTTTAATCTGGGTGTGTGCCCAAGGTGCAGGATCCCTGGCAACGTCAACTTCCTAAATTGTTCATGTTGGTGTCGAACAAAATCTGACCTCTAAGCTGTTTTGTTGCTTCCATTTGGGTTAGAAAGGGACTGTTTGTTCAAAACTCGTGTTCTAAACCCGTTTGGGATTTTAACTAAAGTCAGATTACCATGGTTTCAGCACATTCCGGTTTATTTAGTAAAATTCAACCCTTGTGAAATTGGCTGCAAATGAAGTACCTAATTCCAATTTTAGGCATAATCTGATTAGTACTTTTCATGTTATAATAATGAACAGTGACTACTCAGCATTTTGTTAGACTTTTTTTTTTTTTTTTGGCTCAGAATGAAAACAAGCTCTTTCCACTTCATTCTGTACCTTTCCAAAAAAAGCTGATGGCTTTGGAGGTATATTGCCACACAACACCCTTATTAACAGGCTGTTGCTTGCTGCAATTTACATAAACTGTGCATCCCTCTGCTATGTATCCCCAAATACCCAACATCTTCACTGAAATTTACACCAACCAACAAGTATGTTGATGTTTTCTTTTTTTCTTTTTGGTGCTTTAATGGTGAAATATGTTACTTTGCTAGCAAACACACCCATACCATCTGTTGGGTGAGAGGAAGACAGTTTCTAAGAACAATTAAGTTTAGTTCTGGGTGCTCAGCTAGAGAGAGCCACCATCCGCCCAGTTGTGAAAAGAAAGAAATTCTGCTCATTCTGTTCTCTCCCTCCCTCTCTCCCTGATACCAATCTCTCTTTCTCACAGCTCTCTCCTTTGCATCACCTTGCTCCCTTCACATTTTCACTCTCTCTCTCTTTTTCCTTGGCTTCTGTTAGGCCCTGACTATCCTTCCAATTTCTTTTCTTTTTTTTTTTTTTAAAGATTTTATTTATTTATTTGACAGAGAGAGAGACATAGCGAGAGAGGGAACACAAGCAGGGGGAGTGGGAGAGAGAGAAGCAGGCTTCCCGCTGAGCAGGGAGCCCGATGCGGGGCTCGATCCCAGGACCCCGGGATCATGACCTGAGCCGAAGGCAGACGCTTAACGACTGAGCCACCCAGGCGCCCCATAGCCTTCCAATTTCTGTCTCATTCAGGGGATCAGTAAGACACGGCCTGGCAGACACCCCCTTCTCCGAAGGGCTATATAAGTGATCTGCTGAGATTATTGGGAGGTAATGTTCCCTGGCAAAAGAAGGAAGAGGAAATTAAAGCAAAAAGAGGCTCCTCAAAAAAGACCTTTTTTTGGGGGGGGGGAAGGGGTGTCTTACAGAACGGCCTTGGTAAGCATTTCTTAATGTAGGGTGATCTTGTCCCACTAAAATCCAAAAAAACAGAATAATGGAATTCAGGCCTTTCTCAACAGTTACATTAGATCTTTGCAGAGACTAATTATCACAGTGTGTTCTACAGCATGTCTGATTCCAGAGGTGAACTCTGCAGAGGTCACAGAGAAAGTTGGCACCGATCAGAATCGTCACTGTCCCCTGTTCTAAATAAAAAGTGAGGTCACCAAACTTCCCGCAGCCAATCGATATTTCGTGCCACAGGCTGCTCAGTGCAGTGGACCAGTGGCTAATAAACTTGTCCTTATACATAAGCCACCGTATTATGTGCCTCTGTCTGGGCCAGGAACCAAGGCGTGCTCTGATTTCAGAGACCCGGTTCTCATCACCTGGGGAAGAGACACGCTCGGGTGACGTAAGAAAGCGGCTAAATCAACCATCGCCAAGACCTGCAGACTCCAAAATTAAAGGAGAAAATATGCGTGCAGTTGGTTCAATTGGCACCCATTAAAGCTAATAACTAATCATCCTCGCAAGTTTCTAGCTCCGAATGATCAAATCTGCAAAGAAAACAACATCCGTCCACTTTTACACTCCAGTGGAAGAGGTGGTCCCTCGCGGCAGGGCGGCACAGTCTCACCATCTGGAGAATAAATCGAGTGTGAAGTACAGTATAGTTTGGGACCAAGCTCCGTGGCGGCAGCTCAGCAGTGAGTTCATTAGTTCCCAACTTCCAGGGATTAGAGCGGCATCAATTCTACTGTCGGATAGGAAGAGACAGACAGGATACGAGATTCAAGGAGGCTTGTGACAACCAGGAGGAGCCCCTTGGGTTTATTTATAAAACTACAAAGTATAAACACACCCAAATAAGTGCCTTAAATAATAGCATTATCACAGTTTCCTAACATCTGAATTAACACCTTCCCCTTCTTCCACACCACCCCCTCCACCTCGTATGTTAATGTAGAGTCCCTTTCAGAGGAAACCACAAGGGCACCCTTGATGCAACAGGAGCAGGGAGAAAGCCGAGCGGCAGAACCCAGATTTGGTAATTAAGAAATATGAAAGACCTTCTAGACTCCAGGGAGATGCATAACCTTGGTGATTTTTAAAAATGTGCAATTAATATTTCATCGTTCAAAAGGCAAACTGTGAGGCCACAGCCTCAAAAACACTAGTGAATTCTGTCTTTTCTGAATGTGTCCACCTTATTTCCATTTTATCTGATTTGTAAAACGATGTCACAGGCCCGGAGTGCAACGAACTTTGGGCAGACGGCCTTGTTATCAGTATCTATGCGAAAAGATTTTTGAAAATGTTGAGGTCATTTGGTTCGGAGTGAACTTTTCCATGGAAGGATTTCCTTTTTCACACAACTTCTTTTATACATTTATATTAAAAAAAAAAAAAAAGAAGAAGAAGTGCTGTGACATAAAACAGGTCATCGCTTGTAAACTATGTTATTGTATTTTTCTCATAAATGTATAAAAATTTATTACAGGATCCCAGAGACTGTGGTAGTGACTGCATTGGACAAAAGGCAAATAAATTCTCGTTAATTATTACAACGTGGTAGCGTTTCTTTAGGAAGGTGATAGTGTTGAGTTTTCGATCCCATTGTTTTTTCCACATGATAAAGAAATCTTGGTTTGTTTTTGAAAGAAGAAAACTAATAACTCTACTGCATGTACCATGATTCAACTGGTTTAAAATTTCATTCATGGGTAACACCAAAGGCACAGGTAATTGGACTTCATGAAAATTAAGAAGTATTTGT